TCGCCCTGCCCCCCCCCGTAGCGCCACCACCTCGGCGCGTGTGTGTGTAACTGTGTGTGCGTGTGCACGGGGGTGCGTCTTGGTGGTCCTCTGCCTGCCTGTGTCTGTGTGCACGTGTGAATGCACGCATGTACGTGCAAATACCTCACAGGCCTTTGTGGGTGAAGCTCGTCCCTCAGATCTTGCGAAAGGATCTGAAGTGGCGTCAGCCCCCGCCCTCCCCCCCCACGTATACAGATGCCCACACCCGTGTATACGCGAACCAGCGCCCTCTCCTGGGCTGGCTACAAACAAGAGCTGTCACAGAGCAGGCGAGCCGCCGCCGCTGCCTACCGGGACAGGAGATGGCACCAGCGGGGCAATGTGCCCAAAACATCACCGACGATGCAGCAGCAGCTAAGGTGCCTCTGTGGTTCGGGTGGTCTCAGGAATCACTTGACGTGTGTGTGTGTGTGCGCAAACATCCATGCATGTACGTGCAAATATCTCACAGGGTGATTTCACTGTTTTATAAAGTGTAAGTGTATATGTGTTGTGCATGCGTGTATATGTATACATGTGCATGTATATATGCACACTGCTAGCTGGTGCTTTGTGGGCCCAAGGCCCATGACCCCGCTATGTGTCGACCAGGCCTGTGTCCCAAGGCACGTCCACTGGCTCCTTAAGGGCAGGTGGGCATTGCCCGAAGTGCTCTGCTCGGTGCCACCCCTCGGTGCACTCATTTTCAACCTATGACCCTCACTCCCGTCCCTGTTTGGATTTTTTGTGGTCCCAAGCAATCAGTGATGTGCCCTTAGTGACCCCCATCACTAAGAGGGGCTTATAGCTCTGCTGGGTGGGCTTTGCCCATGTCACAGACTGGCACATCAACAGGCCCATGTCACCATGGCAGAGAGCAGGGCCTGGGAGGGAGTGACCTGGGTCTGACCAGGGTTTCCTCCACTGCTCCTGTCCCACTTGCTGCCTCCAGCATTTCAGGTCTGGGAAGCTCTGATTCAGAGGCCATGCCCCTCAGTCCTGTGCTCGGTCTCTTTCTATGCAGATAGAGATATATAAGTATCCAGGTCTCAAAGGTGCAGATCTGCCCTGCCTTCTACCTTTTTTTAGACTAGCACACTTAACTATGTCTCTCTGCTCAAGGACATGAATGCCAGGGAAGTGTTGCAGGTATCCACGTTGTAGCCTTATTGGTCTAGAGGAAAAAGTAATCGGGGCTCATGGACAGAGGTGATATCTTTTATTAGACCAACAAGATTTTTGCAAAAAAATATGTTTAATCCTTAAAATTCTGGTTTATTAGGCGGATTGAAACACTGTAATGAGTTAAATCATAATCCTTGGGGCTGGTGTCCCCCCCCCACACACACACACATTTACACACATACACACACACAGTAGCAAGCTACAGAGTCAGGTATACCTATCCTACAAGCGCTGGAGTCTGCCGTCGATGGCCAGATGAGGCTTCTTTCAGCGTGGTGTTATCCTCCAGAAGGGGGTCGCCGGCTGGTCCTTCTGGCTGGACGGGTCTGGTCGAGTTGGAGATCAAGAGGGCGCCACTGAGGGTCACTTTTCACTGCCTTTTTTCTGTCCCTGGCAGACTTTGGTGACTCCCCAGTTTTCAGGTTTGCCCAATCCAGGGGTCATTGACCCTCGTGGGACTTCCCCCCTCGGTGGCTACTGGACGGCATCTGTCAGCCCCAGGGGTCATCCGCATGCACGTGCAAGTTTGGGAGTCCGTTGATGAGTTTTGAATAGGGCTCTGGGAGCGGTTGATCTGGAGATACTCAGCCCAAAAGTTGGTCCCCAGTGTTGATTAACTCAGGCCAGGGCTTCTAGCCCTGGATCAGTGACATTTAGAGATTTCCCGGTTGCTACATTGTCTTCTATTGAGTTCTTCCCTTGGCTGATCTGCAGCTTCCAGGTGTTAATTGCTGCCTGCTGCTACAGTGTTACACATTCAATCACATTACACATTCAATCACTGATTCAATCCCTCTTTCAGGGGCCAGCCTGATACAGGGAAGGGCAGTTTGAGTCTTGCCCTTGTTAACATTGTTACAATGTATAACTTACTTATGAAACTAAATACATTCAGTTGAAAGTTGAAAGGTGAGAAATATAAAATATAAGCTACAAATGCCATGGCGCACAAATAGATGAAAATACCAAACTACAAGGGGAGATACAAAATGTGCACACACAAATTTTAAAACACAATTCCTTATCTTAAAGTGAAAGAGAGAGGAAGGAAGAAAAGGTAGAAAAAGAGAAACATATCCAAAGAGGGGCGAGCAAATGCAGGCAAGAGGAAAAGGGGGCTTTCTGCTACAATAGGATTTCACGTGTGCTTTCAAGATGCTGAGGAAGGCTAGATTTTGTTTTGTGAATTGGAATAAGAGAGAGATGTAAGATTCTAATGATTACAAGACAAATCAAGCAACATTTTTGGATTATAATTTCCTCGGTTTGTTGTGTTTATATGTGTGCATGCGCATTTGTGTGCACATGTATGTGTGTACGTATGTATATATAATTTGCTATGTTATAATGTGTGTGTATACATTTTAATTTGCTATGTTACAAAGTGTGTTTGTGTATGTATATAAATTGTTTGCTGTTATAAAGTGCACGTGTATATATATGTATGCAATGCATATAATTAATTTGCTATTTGCATATAATTAATTTGCTCACTTCACATTATAAAGTGTGTATGTATACACTGATTTGCTAGCTATAAAGTGTGTGTACATGTGTAATGTATATGCATATAATATATATATGTGCTATGTCAGGGGTTGTCAAGTGGGGGTATACATACCCCCGGGGGTACTTGGACCAGTTCTGGAGGGTATGCTCAAGCAGGTAGGTGGGGACAGAGCGCCGCCACCTTCCAGGAGCAGGGTTGGGGCAGGGTGAGGGCAGCTGTGCCCCTCTGCAGGGCAGGGAAACTTGCATGCAGCAACCGCTGCCACCACCCACTAGCTCGATCAGCTTCCCCGCCTCACAGAGGGGCACCACTGCCCTCACCCAGCTTCCCCGCCCTGCCCTGGCCCTGCTCCTGGGAGGTGGCAGCGCTCCATCCCTGCCCACGTGCATGCTGTCCCTGCTTCCCCACTCTGCATGCCACCCCTGCCGCTGGGGGTCCTTTGATTGATTTTAAAAGGTTGAAAACCCTTGTGCTATGTTATAAAGTGCCTGTTTATGTGTGTGTGTGTATCTATATATCTCTCTATATAAAATTAATTTGCTACTTTATAGCATGCCTGTGCATGCATATGTGTATATAATAAATTAGCTATGTTATAAAGTACGTGTGTGTGTGTGTATGTATATGTGTATATAAAAATAAATAATGAAGTTGTTATGTTATAAAGTGTGTGTAGGTGTCTGTGTATAATTAATTTGCTATGTTACAAAGTGTGTGTGCTTGTGTAATATATAAAACAAATTTGCTATGTATAATGGGGTGTGTGTGTGTAGGTATGTATATATAATTAATTCACTATGTTATGAAGTGTGCATGTGCTTTTCTAGTTTATAAAGTATGTATATGCATGTACAATTAAGTTGCTGTGTTATAAATTGTGTCTGTATGTATACTTATTTAGCATATGCAGTTTCAGCATATTGTTTCAGCCATCTCAAGGTGATGTCATCACCAGTGTGAAGAGCTGGAAGGCCACCAGGTAGTATAGTAACTATGTCAACATAGTTGACATGGGTCAACAAGGTGTTGACATGGGTCAACAATATTTGAACTTGTCCACAAGGACATTTTGTGTCATTGTGAAGGCCCCATTGGTATAGGTTTGAGGCACAGTGGCCTTGTCCAATTCAAAAACGGTTGAGAAGTGCCTAACAACGGCATGACCAATTAAATCTTGGTTGACTGATTGTAGGGTCAGAGATGATATGGTGATTGATTGGTGCTTGTGCTGTCCATTCTTCATGCCATCGAGTAAGTAAGGAAAAGTCAAAGGGTTTTAAAAGTGTGGACCATATTGGACATCTTGAGGGGAGCTGAGCTGTTGGTGGGTGGAATATATCCCAATGCACTGGCAGTGTAGGATTATCGCGGGGTCTGGTTAGTAAGCTTACTCCAGCATTTTTTTTGCAGTGGAGATGAGGGAGAGCAACATTACTGAGACCTGATAACCATAGGAGTGGAGTGGGTTGCAATATGCCTGACGCAAGACTCATTGTAGCATTCATTTGGGTGTCTACTAGTTTGCTGTGTGATGGATGAGTCCATACAGGGGCACAGTATTCTGCAACTGAGTAACACAAGCGCAAGAGCGGATGAACATAGCGTGGAGGCATTGGCACCCCGAGTGGAGCCTGCAAGTTTGCAAATAGGTTATTCCTTCTTTTGATTTTTAAAGCAGTTTTCTGGAAATGTGATTTATAAGTTCAAGTCCACTCAAGGGTGACTCCAAGGTAAACTGGGTGGGTTTCGAATTTGAGTCTGACCACTGAAAGTAGTAGTAAGTTCACAATTAGCACTGGCATTCTGTAGATGGAAAACACTTGAGGCAGTCTTTGAGATGTCAGAGCACTGCCTCAAACAAAATAAACATCAGTCTCATGCCTTTATCAAATGTGAGCTCTACATTTGAAAAGTCATGAGCTTGGGTAGCAAAGGCACTTCCATCAGTGTAAATGAATTTTCATGAGCTGGTCACAGGCAGGTCATTAATGTGCAGGTCAAAAAGAAGAGATCCCAGTACTGATCTCTGAGGGAGGCCATTGGTTTGATGTCTCCAAGACCTAGTTTGATTGTCAAGGTGGACTCTAAAGCATCGATCACATAGTAATAGTTTGACTGGATGAGTGGTCCAATGTGGCAGAATTCCTGATACTTTCACAAGAAGACTTACACACAGTGTCATATGCTACTGTTAAATCAAGGAAGGCAACACCAGTCTTCAGGATTTTATGAAGGCTATTTTCAATTAAGGTGGCTAAGGCTAGAACTTGATTGGAAGTGCTCCGGCCACAGCAGAGTCCAGCTTGGTCTGGGCTTAGGGCAGAATCAATTACTGGAGAAATATGTAGCAGAACTAGCACTTTCTCCCCACTTGAGAGGGGCACTTTCTCAAATGTCTTGTAGCGCACACTCAGGAGGGAGCTTGCTGCCACTTGTGGGCAGGAGTGACGTGTTGAGGGGTGCACGCCACTTGCCATCCCACCGCCAGTCTATGATCACCCCTGGCCGACGCCGATGCTACTGGAGGTGCCTGTGGGTGGTCACCAACCCATGGTTGGTGCTTGCCACCCCCCACCCAGTGCTGGCAGTGTCTGTGGGAGATCCCCACTCATCGCTGCTGCACTCCTGCCACCAGCGGTGCAGCCGTGCCCCCCCCCCCAGCCACTGGGGGCATGCACCATTCAT